GTTATATGTCACATGTAGCACCATGGCCTTGGAGGAACGTTGTCTCGTTTCACTGTGTACTGTACCACTGCACATGGTTGGAATGGGGGAGATTTAAATTAAGATTTCAAATGAATATACAGGGAAGCACGTGGTTTCTAATCCTTAATAAGTATGACCACCTCCTGGTGTGTGTCCAGCAAACACAGTGTGATGTGAAGCCGTTTCTCACCAAGTCTGAGGCCACCAGGCGTCAGGGCGCTCTTGTCTCCGGGGCAGGTATTCTTATTGGCGGTGATTGACGCAAGCTCGAGCACCCTCTCCGCTCGAGCACCATCAATACCCTTAGGTCGCAGGTCCACGAGGACCAGGTGGTTGTCGGTCCCACCTGGAACATCCAGTTTTCAATAAATAGGAGGAAAATAAGTCACCCGTACATTACACGAGATTAAGGGAAAAAATACGCTAGGAATGTGTTTTACTGGTACGATCTTCCACTCTTACCAGTTATTTGGCTAAAAATATTTACTAAGGGATTAAAGAAAGGTGTATGTACACACTGCAGAGTGAGCAGAGTATATCAACTGAAGGCTATACATCAAAACAAACCAAAAAAAACATTTTTGGATTTGTGCTTTTCTTGCTGTGTAATTTACATTTTGTTACAGGACATTTTATATGAATTTTCAGTGTTAAATGCTCTGTGCTGAGTAAAGAAGTGCACACTAGATTACCTGATACCAGAGTGTAGCCTTTGCTGAGAAGAGCTGCAGCCATAGCCTTGGCATTCTTTAGCACCTGGTCAATATACTCCTTAAACAGGGGAGACTGTGCCTGGACACACAGAACCAAAAGTGTACGGTTAGTTAGCGTTTACATTTGGCTCTGTAATACCCTCCTCCAGGGGTAGACAACTCCAGGCCTGATGGCTGATGTCCTGCAGGTTTTAGATATGAGTCAACACACCTGAATGAAATGATTAGCTCATTACCAGGCCTCTGGAGAACTTCAGGACATGTTGAGGAGGAAATTTGGCCATTTGAATCAGCTGTGTTGGATCAAGGACACATCTAAAACCTGCAGGACACCGGCCCTCGAGGCCTGAGTTGTCTACCCCTGCACTAGTCCCTTTACTGACTGAAGTTTATGCACATGTTCTTAAGCTCCTCAGATTAAAGTCTTGAAAACAAAACACCAACAGATCCAAGTTTGCAGTTCAGTATTTGTGTGTTGTGCAGACCTGTCTGAGTGCCACTGCTACACCAGCAATGGCATGGTTGTGAGGTCCACCCTGCAGGGAGGGGAAGACGGAAAAGTTGACCCTGTCCTCGAGGTCGTACATGATTTCCTTTCCCTTTTTGTCAACTGAGCGAACACCCTTCCGATAGAAGATGAGACCAGCCCTGGACAGAACAGAATCTTTTACTGATGAAGCA